CGACCGACCGACTGCTCGAAGGCGGCGTCGGCGGCGGGCGGCAGCAGCAGCAGCAGTCCGTTTCCACACACGCTGTGCGTAGTTGTAGTCGGTGTGTGTGTGTTTATCTCGCGCGTCACGTTTATTGTGTGAACCGTTCGCGGGCGGCGCTCGCGCTCTGACGCAGTTATTACCGTATGTGTGTGTGTGCATGCGTGTTGGTTCGCGTGACACAATTTGCGTGCACCAAGACCCCATCGGCCGACGCCTCGAGTTCCCGTCGGTCGCGACCATCAGTGGCGAACTGGGCATCGGCGTGAGCACGTTTAATTTTTCGTCGACCGTTTTGAATTCGATAAGGCATACATACACTCTCTGTTATCTGTCGGCGTTTGTGTGTGTGCGTGTGCCTCTCTCTGTCTCGTTTTCGTTTTTGCACTTCAAGACATATAATATATTTGATATTGAGGACTGACGGGGCGACATCATACAACATTGGTCACGAATGACCGAGGTGTTATGAAAAATCTGGCGGACGTGTGTCCGTCGATACTTTCGTAGTCGTGCGAGACGTACGTTTGAGGACCACACACCAACCGTCATCCATCAACCGCCACACCCCGCGTATCGTTATCTTATCGCTGGCGTTGTCGTACGGCGGTGCGACGATGATGGACGACGACGACGACTACAGCAAGACATGTGGTCCCGTGCTGGACCGCCGGAACCCGGTGAACCTGGACGAGCTGTTCGTGCCGCTCGGTGCCAAGTCCAAGGAATGCGACAACTTACTGGCAGTTGCAGAGGAGGACTCCGGCGACGAAGAGGACACGGCCGTCGAGACGGTTGCCGCCAAAGCCACGACCTTGGTGAACGACATCAACACTAGATTTTCCAACGATTGCACGCAGACCGTCGGACCGTACTTGGACATGGCCGACCCGTCTCGCAAGGTCAGCGTCCGCGACCTGTTTAAGCCTTTGGACTCGAAGTCCAAAGAGGTGCAGAACTTGGCCGAAGAACGGTTGTCGGATGACGACGTAGACGACCACCGTAACGCCGAAGGTGGTGGCGGCGGCTACCAGACAACCAGTGCCGAGCACGACCAACAGCAGACCCAGACCTGTGGGCCCGTCCTCATCGACAGTGGCGGTTATTCGCCGGCCAAACAGCAATTGGAACGGATTTTCGATCAAAATCCGGAAGAGGTATTAACCCGTACGACATTACACGAATAGACTCGTTGGAAATTATATAAATTGTTGTGGTTTGGGAGACAATTTTTTCTTCACTCCCCCCCCC